CACTCACTCACTCACTCACTCACTCACTAATAAAAATAAAAAAATAAAAGATTATGGCATTGGGTGAACTGAATTGATTCCATTGCAGTGGGTTTGGTTTCTTTTAGTTTGAATCTGTGCCTTGTTGCTGGGGATTACAGATCGCTCAGCAGCTCCCTCTGTCGCTAGCTAATTTGGGACTGTTAACTCAAAACCAAAAAGTTGTGTTAGACTCATAGCAACTCTTCACAGGGTTCCCAAGAGGAGCAGACAGCCTCATTGCTGCCCTGTGGAACAACTGGTGGGACAGTCCAAGGCTGGCCCACAGCACCACCACCATTCTTCATTTACGTATTAGCTGTTGAACTAGTATAAGGAGCCTGGGGAAGATGGGCACAAACCAGATGTGCTCTTTGCAGGAAAGAGATGAGGCATAATTATAATTATTGCTATGGTACATGGTGAGGGTTAGGAAAAGGGAACCAAGAAAAGTCCATGGCTGTTGAGAACATTCACTGGGGAATTACGGAAGGCCTGATATGGAATATTTGGAATTTATCTGGGTCTTAAAGGATGAAGGGGATATAACTTTGTGGTGATCAGGGATCCTCTGTATTTTTCACACCTCGTATCTAATCCTGTGGAAAATCCCAGAGGCTTTACAGTAAAAAACTCCTGCCTCATTCAGTCCCTCATATGCCCTACAATTGGCTTTCCATCCCAGCATCCAGAATCTCTTTGCTTTGCTTTTTCTGTGCTCATTTTCTGAATCGTCTCCCACTACGCTGTTTAATTATTTTTTATTTCTGTTGTTATCGGGCACCGATAAGAGAGGATGTAGGCAGCACCAGGGTGGGTGGTCCCTGCTTTCTGTTTGAAGACTGATTTGTCTGTGCAAAGGGACTCAGGCCAGGAAAAGGGCCTGGAGGACTTGTCCTCCACATAAGATGAGTTCCTTCCTCTGTATCTCCTGTAGTTCCTGCCTTTCCTGTGTTTATCAAGATTGGACTGTGGGCATGCTCTACCTATAATATGTCACTGGGAAGAAGTGTGATACAATGTATCACTTTGAAAGCCTCTCTTTAACAGAGAGGGTGGTCTGTAAACAGTTTATATATGCTGTGCAGTTTGGAAGGGACTGGAATCTTGTGTGCAGCACGTGAGTGTGAGTTTGTTTTGTACCCCCTAAGACATGCAGGGAGTCCCAACTATACTGTGATTCCTAAAAGTGGAGGAGGAGCAGCCCTCGAAGAGAGAGCTGGAGAGGCTAGGCAGTGGCAGGAGGAGGGAGCTGCAAGGGCCGCTGCCAGGAGGCTCAGGCTCTTGGCCTACCGGGAACCAGACAGGTGGTTCGGCTGCTGTGGGTGGAGCATTCTCCAGGCTGGTCCTCAGCACCCTCCCCTGCTGCAGTACTGATCACAGGAGCCTGTGGTCTGTCTTGATGTGATGTCATTGTGACTATTCACAGTCCGGGGCAGAGAAAACGATCCTTTTATGGAAGCCTTTGGGCCGCCTTGTCTACTGATTAACCAGAATGAAACTGCTGTTTGCTTTAAAGACAATTGTTAACTACACAGAGGTGTGTGTGATGCAGTGAACATTTCAGCAGGGGAGCACATTTTCCTGTGGGGCCAGCATACAAGCGCCAGCCAGCTAGGATGGGGTCACTGGTCCACCATGGCCAAGGTTTGTAATTCTCTACTTGGGGAAGGTCGTGGTCATTGATCGAATAGCTCAGTGCAGATGTCCTGTAAGGAAGACTTGGTAATGTGTAATTACGATTTGTAATTTGGTAAATATGTACTCTTGTGATTTTGTCATTTGGGGCTTTACTTGTGCAGTTAGGCCTACCATACACTAGGGCTGTCCTACAAGTTCAAAGACAAATGCCATCCTCTCTTCTTCATTCCATCTTTCCATAAGCCGCCCCCACCCCCACCCCAGTGAATGACCCCTCTGCAGTGTTGCATTTCAGGTGATTTATTCTTTGGATTTTTGTCTTCATTTATTTTTATGTTACCCTCAAAAGACCTTTGCTCAAAAACCATGAAGCAAGGTAGTTGGACAGCAGAGCGTGGGGCATGATGGGAGGATGTGTCTGGGAGTCTCAGCTGTCCATTCCCAGCAGGGACACACTACTGGACTTTTATTTCTGTCTTACCCTCTGAGGGGGAGGCTCCAGGTCGCTTGCACTCAGAGTTGTAAGGAGAGTCTCTCAAAAGGGTTCTCCCGCCTGTGCTGTCAGAAGCGCTGCACCTCGGTGGGCTGTCCCTGGGCCAGAGTTGGCTGTGGTTGCATGGCCACACAGTGCCCGAGGACAGCTCGGAGCCGTGGCAGCTTCTCTCAGATGACTGAAACTCACACTCTTGCCTTTACTTTCGCTGACTGCTGTTGGACGGGTTTGTTCTGTGTCTTAGTGGAAAACATGCGTTTCCAATTGCCCCCCC